TGTCGTGAATAAGAATGGTACTATTAACCACATAGACTGCATTAATTATTGCTTATTATTTGCTTTTGGTGAATGTAAACATTAGCATTTTTTATGATGCCAAGAATGTAATAAATTTTTCGATTTATTTGAAGATCTAAGAAATAAACTAGATGCTTTGCATTATATAAAACTTACAGAATGTCAGAAACGATTAATATTCTATTTGGCCTATCAAACTCATAAAACATATCTAAATGCTCAATTTAATTCTATATTAAATGAACTTGATGATTATAGAGCAGTTATTGTGGTTGATTATAAGATGTGAATTTTGCATGCAACAGCTCGAGAAACAAAAGCCAGTTTTTTGAAAAAAGAGGATAAATGCTTCATACAACCTTGGTGTTTTGGAAAGATAAAAATAATAGTGAAAACTTAGATATTCAAGCCTATGACTATTGAAGCACTTATACTAAACAAGACGCCTGGTTCACAGCATCATGTTTTGAGGCAGTATTTATAACAATGGATTCTAAACCACATTGTGTTAAAATTATTTCAGATAATGGAGAACACTATCATAACTTGAAGTTGATAGCAATTATTAGTCACTAGCATAGTTAGTACAATGTAGAAGTACGTGGGTAGATTTTCCTTGAACTCAGAGAAGCAAAAACTACTATTAATTCTCATCATGCAACAACAAGTAAATCAATAAGTATAATGAATACTAGCCAAATTAATATATATATATATATATATAAAACTGCCTTCAACTTTATTCGACATATAATTTATGAAATTGCATTATGATCAGATTATATACTGAAGTATGCCATTTTGTTATACTGAACTTTTTTTTAATTTGGGTAGTAAATATATATAGTATATGTTAACTTTTCATGCTCTACTAATAAACAATGTTAATTATAGATTGCACATGCAATTATAAGATATATCAGAATTGGTTGTGAACTTACTGATGAAGCAGATATTGAAATAGCACTTCAAAAACTAGGTGGAACGTCTATAGCACATATTGAGCCAGATCATAATAAAACAGTAGGGAAATCAGCATTATCAGCAGATCAAAATGATACAAATTCAAAATCAGAATTACTAAAGTATTCGCTTTATCAAAGTTAAAAAAATTTCATACTTAACTTTGGCATAATAAGAAAAATTTTTATTATGATTAATATATATAATTGTTCTTATTATATTGAAGTAAATCGTAATATTCTATATTGCCACAAATAAGTAAGTTCTTTTAATAATGAAATTGTGATGAACTAATAATTATAGTCATTAGAGATAAACTAGTAATAGTGAGGGTGTGGCGACTTAGT